TTCTACTGATGAAATGAGAATTTACATCTCATATCACTTGAGAGACCAATTAGATATCTGGATGGCGGTGGTCCCTATGATATGTTATGCTATTGTCGAGTGGCGTCCTACTGATCGTGTGCTCCGTCAATTCGGTTTCTTACAATCTATTCCAAAAGTACCTAAGAATCTCGATGATATGCATATCATCGATAGACGGGAAAAAAAGAAGTCAATTGGATGTTGAAGCACATCGAGTGGGTAATGATATGAGAGGATCAACGTGGACGCATTCCCTTTACGGAACCTATTTATGTGGATCATTATTCGGATACAAATGATTATTATAAGTGGTTCAACGCAAAAGAGAAATTGTTTCTACTTTCTGAGGAAGCACGAGGAGATAACATTCATCGGCGCTGACAAAGACGTCCACCGTCACAACATCTTTGTCCCCCGACTCATGAACAGAGAGCAGCGCTTCTGGCTTGTCCTCAGTTGCATCACTGAAACTATTATAACATCCACCATCTACACAGGTGTATATTATGTAACCATTTTAAATGGCACTACATTCGTATCAGATGGCACCACATCCATTTCAGATGCCACCGCAGCCGGGTCATACGCCACCGCTTTCATATTAGATGCCACAGTCATAGAGTTTTATGACCCTTTCCTGGCAGATATTATACTTTCATGCTTGTAGATACAATATAGGGTTTATATACTACTTATTTGGAGGTGAAGGTTTACCATATACACAGACACCCCCGATACAATTTTTACACTCATCAATGTCGGTGTTTTTGCAGTTTTCACAATTTTTTATAAGCGGTGGGATAATCAGTCATAGACCTCCAGGGTCCTTATTCTATGGAGATGTTACATCGTCATTCGTCCCTTATCAACAAAATATAGATACTCCTAATGATTATGATGATGAGAGTGAGGAGGAAAAACAAGTTATACGAAGAAATCCTTATCGACACAGATAGCCACCACCTTGCGGAACAAATTCAAGACGCATACATCAATAGAGTTGTTTTGTTTGTTATGTTTGTATTTAATTTTCTTTGTTTACTAGCAATTTTAAAGTTTTTATTTAATTATGAATTTTTATTTATTTTGTTTGTTAATGTTTTTATTATTTAATTATTTAAATTATATATTTTGTATTTAATGTTTCTATTTAGTTGTTTTTATTGTTTGAATTGTATCGTTTTCTTGTATTTAGTTTATAATGTTTTTATTTAATTTTCACTTTAGTAGCTCATTACTCAGTGATTCTCAAACAACATTAATTGAAAGTAAATGGAAATTAAATAACACAAACTTAGATTTAATAAACAACAATTACATCGTCACAACATCAACATTTATTTGATGACAAAAGAAATTGACATTTTTTCTTATCGTGTCCTAGGTTTCTACAATGCCCACATCTTTTGTTTTCTCTATACATCTCTCAAATATCCATAACACAATGACATCGAGCAAATTTTGGACGACCGGGCTCTATTAATAAGGACAGATTTACTATAATTAAAAGTTAATTATGAACCTTATCAGGGTCTTTTTCATTACCTATAGGGGGAACTCAAATTCATATACCTTAAATACTTTTGAAAGTCGGTATACGGATAAAACAGTTACAATATTGACGGGTATAAGAGCAGACTGCTATGATATGAGAGCATGTATACTTCAGAGCTTGAAAAAACTGACAGTCACACCACTTATCTCGTAGATTAAGTCTGAACAATTTAGCTTGAATCCCTTGAATAGGTCGCGGTATCTTTGTGACAAGAAGTAATTCATGGGTTCTAAAGAAAAGTGTTACAAATATTTCATTTGATGCAACAATCATTTTTTATAGATCTGCGACTACTCTTGGATGAAAGACATAATCATTTTGTATCCAAGTTTGAGCTTGTCCCCCGAGCTTGGCAAAAAACGCTCCAAACAAAATACATCATTTTAACCAAAGTCGTTACTAGTAAATGGCGTGCCCTCTTTAAGGTCGAATTGATAGCCTTATCCAAGTTAGTCGTCATGTGTATATATCGATATCCACCATCATATGCATTTGTCCACATTTATTTGTTGATGAGGCTGATATAATTGTATCATTACTCGTTATTTCCTCGCAAATCTTGAAACATTGACTCAAATGTTTCAGGTAATAGTTCATAACCTAAGCGTCAAATGTAGAACTTTTCATAATAGTTAACAACAATGTGTTGGATACCCATTTTGACATACCCATTTTCACAAGTAATTGGTGCTCATCATTCTTCTTGAACTTTTCATAATAGTTAACAACAATGTGTTTGATACAATATCGATGTTGGACATAGGGTGGTTGTTACATTGGACCCAAAAAATCTATTGTTGCTTTGATACTAGCTTCGCGATTTGAAATGACACATATTTTTTCCCTTGTGGCAATATGCAAGCGTAAGTTTCTGATGAAAAAAGCCCAATAATTTGTATATTCTCCTTCAATAAGGGAAAAACAACTAGAAGAATATTGCGATTATCATCTTGGACAATTGTCAATAGTAAAACTTGCTTGTATTTTTCATACAAGAATATCCCATCAATTTGGATCACAGGCTTGCAGTATTTGATGGTATTAATGCACTGTTGGTAAGTCCAAAAAACTGGTAGAATTGACATCGATCACAAATCACTTGATTATTTTGGTATGCATGGCAAGTTTCGAAGTCGATAATTGTCCTAGGATTCAATCTATGTACTACCCTAAACCAACTTGGTGGTTCGTTGTAAGATGCATCCCACTCGCCGTGAAGTTTTTTAATGGCATTTTGCTTTGCCTTCCATGCTTTCCTATATGAGACGGTGTACTCATATTACGATTGTATAACTGAAATCAGCACCACAATAGCTATATAGGCATTTACTTTGACCATGAGCATGATGACTTGGCAGATAATGTCGGAGTCCAAGTTGGGATGATCTTGGTTGATCCTTCCAGCACATAATGTGTGAGGACCATTGTATATTTTTAGTTCACATATATTCTTTTTCCTCTTCCTCTTTGATACACGAACTATCCAATTGCACCCGTTATCATGTTAGACACAGTGACATACATACTTTTTAGTGGTGGAACGGTCGACTCTGGATTGAACAAAATTACGAATATTGTAATTCTTAATTGCCATCATTGTTTCTTCTTGGGATGGAAACTTTATTCCTTTATACAACTCACCATCATTGACTGATGAGTTAAATCTGTAGTCACCAACATTAGGCATATCCGTAAATTTTGGCTCGTACATTGCACTATAGTCAGCTTCATACATGTGTGCTGGAGGTTCGATGTATACCGTATTTGTAGGAACTTCGTTTACATCATCATCATCGGAGTCCATGTTGAATTGCGATGATTTTAGCTGAACGAATAGTCCAGTCTCAACACCATCCGCACCTGGCTCACGAAGAGGTTCTTTTGGTGGATATGAGGTTCCTCCACGATGTCGACATTTAGGTCGAACAAGTTGGTAGTTGAATGTCTTCCCCTTAAACTTGAAGGCATCTCAACATTGAGGTCGAAGAAGCTCGCAGTTGAATGCCTTCCCCTAAAACTTGAAGGCATCGTGTCAAATGGATACTGCACAAATTGTTGTATCGAGGGCATCTACATATTCAGATCAAAGAAATTGGTAGATGAATGTCTTCACCTTGAACTAGAAGCGATGTTGCCATACAAATTATTTGTGGAGCTACCTCAGTACAGATCGTAACAAGTTGCTGATGAATGTCTCCCCATTGAACTTGATGGGATGGTACCATGATGTGGATTTCCCATTAACAAGTTAAAATCATTACACATTACTTGAGTTGGGCTGTCAACTTGATCAGCTTGTTGAGTCAGCCTGTAGTAGGAGCATAATGATATACCACGAACCACATACACTTCAACAAATGTCGCATGCATATGTGTATCGGAGTCTGAATATTGATTATGAGAATCAACCATCATAGCAACATCATCATCGTTGGAGAGTTCGAATGTTGTATAAGTTAACGGAAATACTGCAATTGGAAATATGTATTAAAGTGGGGACAATCTTCTAGTACTTTCAACATGAACCTTTCTTGAAATTTTAGTGATCAACTCCTCAAGAGTGATGTTTCTCTAAAAGGATATTCTGACAGAATGATTTGAAGCGAAGACAATGCCGATTTCATCTTCCTGAGTTTCTCCATCATAATAAACAATAGCTGAAATACGTATCGTTTTGAGAGTTTAAAAGATTGAGAGTCTTATATCTACAAAAACAATAGTTGAAATATGTCTAATTAAGTAAATAGTATATTAATTAAAATATAAACTAATAAAAAAATAAAAAATTTCACAATAATTTAAATAACACAATATCATATTGTTAACGTATTAGCAAAATGTCTCAAGGTATGATGCCGCCTTCTAATTTTACAACAACAAAAAATAATATAAAATAATTAGTACAATAAATGTAAATTAAATATAAAATAAATATAATATAATAAAAATATTAGTAAAATAATTTTTTAAATAATTAAATATAAACTAATTATAATATAATAAAAAATAATTTTACATTATAAAAATAATAACAAAATCTACTTAACTTGATAGATAAAATTAATATAATTAAGAATAAACAAGTAATTTTAGTTGTAATGTTTATATTCAGAGAGATTATTTATAAGAGAGGCTCAATAATAATAGAGTCTCAAATAATTTAACATGTATAATGAAAGAATTCGTACCTTTCGTACATTTTAGACGTTCAATAAAGACGCGGAAGATCATCCACTTTAATTTTAATAAAATCTCGTAAAGATTTGACTGACGATCGATACTTTATTACTATCCTTTCATAAAGAGAACTAAATCAGTAATTTCAAATGAGATGATATCTGACGGATCATTATGGATTCTAATAGTGATTTTTCTAAAGAAACGACATAAATTTGCAGGTCACTCTCACTCATTGATCATTCTTCAAACTTCAATCTATCCATTTCCACGTGTTATTCTCTCTAATACTTCCATGGCCCCATAATCCAAACCCTCATGGCCTGCCCCCATCACCACCACCACCACACCACCGCCACCACCGCCTGCTGCTCCACCTGCTCCTGCCCCCAGTGCTTCCACCCACCACCGCCGCCGCTGTATACCCTACAATCTGAGCCTCTCCTACAAGCCCTTGTTTCGCTCCTCCAACCGCAACAAAATCACCATCTAAATCAAACCCATGTTCATAAACCCTCCCAAGATCAAAACTTTGCCACTAAAAACCATCACAAACAAGACCCCAACTTTCTCGTTTATTCACTCGTGAGCCGCATCGACGCTCTCGAATCCTCGCTCCACAGCTTTTCAACAGCCTCGAAACGCTCTTCTCGCCCTTCGTTTACGCTTAGAGACACAGCCGCTCGTGTAATCCAAGCCCATTTCAGAGCTTTCCTGGTTCATAGATCGAGGACACTTAGGCAGCTCAAAGATCTCGCCTTTATCAAATCAAGTCTCAATTCACTCAAACTCTCAGTTTCCAAAGAATCCCATCTGGATCCTCGGGTCATTTCTCAAAAAGCCATGGATTTGCTTCTCGAACTTGACTCTTTCCAGGTACATCTATATTTGGTACTTAAAAATCTTGTTTTTTTTGGATTTTGAAACATGGGTGTTCTTTTATAGGGTGGTGATCCGATGATTAGAGATGGTAAAAGGTCAGTTAGTAGATATTTGATTCAGTTTTTGGAATATATTGATGGGTTGGCTTTGAAAAGGCATAAGCTCATGTATAAGAATGGAAACAATTTGAGGGTTTTGAGGTCCAACAATGAAGAAGGAGATGATGTTGTTAATGGAGGAGAGTATCGAAATGAAAATGGTGGGGTTTTGGTTAAAAAGCAAGGGATTCGACTGAAAGCGAACAAAACCGTGAGGTTTGCTGAGGATGGGAATGTGTATAGGATCATCTGCAATGAGAATGCTGTTAGTTCGAGTGGAGACGGTAGCTTAACCGACGAGTGTGTTTCGAGTGACGAACATGGAGATGTAATGGAGAATCTTGTTGGTGAAAGTGAAGATTTAGTTGCGAACTTGGAGGCGATTAACTTGAATGATGATGAGTCTTTGCAGAGCAGTGACCAAGAGAAGAATTCGAGAAAGAACTCGAGCAAACAAGCTAAGACCGAGACTGGTGGGAACTATCGGATTCGAGGTGGAGATTTTGTGTTTTCCGCGCCATTGCCTTTGAAGATGGAAGCTAAAGCTGTTCCGGTGAAGAAGAAAGATGGTGCACTCAAAATTGTTTCATAGATGTGAACCTAATTTGATTCCATTAGGTCTTCATTGGTTCTTCTTCCATGCTTGTGACCATAATAGTAGCGAGAGTGCTCCCATGGACATGTTGCGAGTTCCGACAATACCCGGTAATGTATCAATTTCTCACATTGAGAGGGCCTGGTTTGATGACTTGTTTTGTAACCTGCACTTGATTGATTGTTTAATGTCAGCTGAACTGAATTGTTGTCCTTTGCCTTGCTTGTTGTCTTCACTACAATTTATTTTCATGTCAATCAGTATCCGTATGTTCACCACATGAGCGATGGAGTTCCGGCTTCATCGTAACGTGGATATAGTTTAGTTCCTCACACTCGTGTCTAAATACGAGTCAAATACGAATGCCAAACATGGATGCATCAAGCAAAATGAAGTGTCTGGTATGTGTTTGACCTGCCTATGTTACCTGCATTCTTCGTTATCATCATTGTTTATCTGTCTGGTTTGTGTTTGACATGTATTCGAACATGGAAATGAAGAGTTCCTAGTTAACTGGCAGAGCTGGGCAACTGAAGACCCGGTTTCAGAGAACTTATTTAATGTTTACGAACACGCTCATACACCGGCACACACATCATGGTGGTGTTATTGTTCTAGGCCTACTCTTTAGATCGTACTATCATGTCCGGAGCAGTTACGGTTTGTGCGTATACAAACTCCGGTTGATGAACTTTATGATGAATGTTTCGGAGCCATTACTGTGCATTGGAATATCTCGTCTTAGGTTACCATTAATACAACCAGCAACTAGGCAGTGCCGTTTATCGATACCTTGAAATTATGGTTCGACGCTATCCCTTTTGCTGCACATTTTTTTAGTCTATTAGTCACATATTTTAAGGAAAATTTTTTATACACCTAAAATTAACTTAATCGTTTATACACTTATTTTTGCATTAAGCCAAAATAGTATACACATGTGACCATAAAAATATGGGGTGTTTATTGTTCTAATAAAATATAATTCAATTAATCGATCGAATAATTAGATATGAAACTGTTTAACGATTATATTTTCTTTAAAATTTAATTATCGATTAATTTGGTTCAAAATTATCAATTTAATTGAAATAATTGAAAATATTTAATATTTTGATATAGTTCCATAGTTTATTGGGTAAATTATGTATTTAGTACTTAAAATATTAGTTTTGTTCCGTTTTCGTATATTAACTTTTATTTTTTTCAAAATTATACTTAATGTGTAGTTTTTATTTCACTTTAGCATCTCGTTTTTCCGTGGAAGAAAATGTAAAAAAAGAATCCCCTTCCTATACCCGAAATAAAAGCTTAAACTCCACCGATCAGATCAGGCCACGTCATCGAAACTCGAAGAAACCAAAGGTTAAATTGTAAAATAAGTAATTAAACTATAATTTTCTTCAATATTATCACATTTGAATCATTTAGATGCCTAATATTATAAATGTTATCACTTTAGGTGCTTGAACCATAATCACACTTAAAATTTATCGTTAAGTGACACATGTCACATTCTGATAATTTTAAAATTTTTATTTAAATTTAAAATTATATTTAAAAACATAAAAATTTTAAAATAGCCCCAAAACTTTAAAAACCCTCATTTCAACCCTTAAACCCACACCCACTACCGTATTTACCATCGACGAAACTTCATCCAACCTCACTTCTTCCGACAATCAATAACCCTATGAAATTGCGATCAATCGAAGATAAAATCGACGTTTTGTACCCCGCGAACTCTAGGTTGAAAATCACAACCTCACGTGATCTCGACGACCAATCGACGTCAAATATGACATCATATGACTAGGAAGATGAGAAGAACTACGTTGACGGCGATGATCGTGGCTGATAAGGGTGCTAATGATGGGTTAAGGTTAGTGATTAAGATTTTTAAGGGATTTGAGTTTTTTGTAATTTAAGAAAAAATAATGTTTTTTAATTTTTTTAAAAAATTAAAATTATCAGAATATGAAACATATTACTTAAGGGAGAAAATTAACAATAGTTACTACTCAAACGTCTAAAGTGATAATATTTATAACGTTAGATACTTGAATTAGGAAAAAATATTAAATACTTATTTAAGAAAAACCGTATAATTTGAACCTTATTTATAATTAACTGGAAAATCAAATAATATAGAGACAGCTATTCGGTGGCGAAGCGGTAAAAAAGGGCATGGTTTTACCATCATAGGAAGTTACATTAGCGGTAAAATTATTTCCACGTGGACCAAATCAGATGTGTCCATGTGGAAACCGTTGAATATCTGCGTGATTGGAACTCAGTGCATATGGAGTAGTATATATAATTCCCGTGAATCGATCATTTTCAGTACTGTGTGATCTATTCAAGTTTACACAAATTTGGAAAGAGAGATGGCTACGTGGCGATACTCCGCGATGACGAGTGGAACGGAGGCGGTTTCCGGTCACAATGCGGTGGCTAGATTCCTCGACTTCGGCCGTGGAAGGAATGGCGGCGGTGGCGGAGGGAGAAGAGTAATCAAAGCGGATCAACTGATGCTGATGAGGAAGTGGCAGCTTCGGCCGATGAAGAGGTCGTTATCGGTGAAGAATGTGTCGAGTGATCGCAAACAGAAGGTGAAAGATCCGCTTACTCAGCAAGAAGGTTCGATCTCCTTCCGTAATATCGAATGCAAATGCTCTGTTTTTTTACTTTTATTTTTCAGTTTTATTGTTCGTTTGTTTGGTTAATTGGAAACTTGAAGATTTTGTGTTATTAATTACAATCTCCTTCGCTTTCCACTTTTATTTTTCAGGTTCGATCTCCTTCCGTAATATCGAATGCAAATGCTCTGTTTTTTACTTTTAGTTTTCTTGTTTATTTGTTTGGTTAATTGGAAACTTATGGATTTTGTGTGTTAATTATGTGGGTAAAGTACACAAATGACTATAGTATATTGTTTTATTAAATCATTCTACTATTAAAAGTTATAAAACGATACTTCGATTATAGAATTTTATTTTGTTAAGTCTTTCTATTATTAAAAATTACAAAATCATCACTCGATTATTTATTATGTTTTTATTCAATTGTCTAAATTGAATATTAATACGATGATTGATATATGATAGTCGTTTGAGATTTTGGAATCATATTTTATGATATTAAGTTTAGTTTAGAAAACTCTCAACTTTTTAATTGAAAATGATGAATTTGAAACATAATGAACAGTCGGGTTACTATTTTATAACTTTTAATAATCAACGGACTCAACAAAATAACACTCTATAGTCGAAGAATTATTTTGTAATTTTTAATAGTTGAGGATTTAATAAAACAATATCATATAATCAGGGGACCATTTGTACATTTTTCCCTAATTATATATACATGTATAATTTTTCCAATGTCCTTCGCTTTACGCTTTTGCTTTTCATTTTAACTTTGATTCATTTTCATGGGACGTAGAATCTCCTGGCAGTCGTCCCCTTTTAACTCCTCCGGATGCTTCATCCATTGCCTCTAGTATCCAATACCATGCCGAGTTCACCCCATTGTTTTCCCCTGAGAAGTTGGAGCTTCCAAAGGCTTTCTTTGCAACCGCACAAAGTGTTCGTGACGCGCTCATTATAAACTGGAATGCAACATATGATTATTATGAAAGATTGAATGCAAAGCAGGCTTACTATTTGTCAATGGAATTTCTACAGGTGTGCGATTTTTCGACGTTCAGTTCTTGAGTTCTGTAACTCACTTTGAAGATGTTACAATTTAAGCCTTACTTGTTCTTCTATAGGGTCGAGCTCTGTTGAATGCAATTGGTAATTTGGGGCTTACTGGAGCTTATGCAGAGGCTTTGAGGAAGTTTGGACACAACCTAGAAAAAATAGCTGCTCAGGTTGATCGGTGTATATAATTTTTTCTCTTTTGCGTACCTTGCTTTATAATACATTCTGACAGTAGTGAATGATTGGAGAGGAAAAAAGAATCTATAGACTTAGTTATTGATACATTTTCTGTTTTATCAGAGGAACTGACCATCATTTGAATCCTTTACCAGCTACCATAGTGCCATATATGATTTCCCTTTCTGATTTGTTTTGTGTCTTTGTCAAAAAAGAAAAACTGGGAGGGTGTCATGATAGCTAAATTCTTTGATTGGTTTATAGGAGCCTGACGCTGCCCTAGGGAATGGAGGCCTCGGTCGACTTGCCTCCTGCTTTCTGGATTCTTTGGCAACCTTAAATTATCCAGCATGGGGTTATGGGCTTAGATATAAGTATGGCTTATTTAAACAGCGTATTACAGAAGATGGGCAGGAAGAAGTTGCTGAAGATTGGCTTGAGGTATACTTGCTCTTTGTTTGTAGAAATAAATGTACACAATGTCTATATGACATCTGCAAAATGAATATTGCTGTTTTATTTAACTTTGTCTTGATTGTGGTTTCTCTTTTAGATGAGCAATCCTTGGGAAATTGTGAGAAATGATGTCAGATATCCTATCAAGTTTTATGGCAAGGTCCTTACAGATTCAGACGGAAAGAAACACTGGATTGGAGGAGAGGATATAATAGCTGTTGCTTATGATGTCCCAATACCAGGGTATGAAACTAAAACCACGATCAACCTAAGACTCTGGTCAACGAAAGCTCCATCAGGAGACTTTGATCTATCTGTGTTTAACTCTGGAAAACATACCCAAGCAGCTGAGGCCCTATATAATGCTGAAAAGGTCTGTTATTATTTCTTATAATTATCCGTATTTGCTTTGGACAATGTTGATCCAAGTGGTATGACGAGGATGACTTATAATATGTATTTGAATGCCAGATTTGCTATGTACTCTACCCTGGGGACGAGTCACTTGAAGGAAAAACCCTTCGTTTAAAGCAACAATATACCATGTGCTCAGCTTCCCTACAAGATATCATTGCACGTTTCGAGAGAAGAACAGGAACAAAGGTCAGATGGGAGGAATTTCCTGAAAAGGTTGCCGTGCAAATGAATGACACTCATCCCACTCTTTGCATTCCAGAGCTGATGAGAATTTTGATCGATGTGAAATGCCTAAGCTGGAAGGAGGCCTGGAATATCACCCAAAGGTACGCTTAAGCCATGTTTGTTTAATTTTTTGCAGCACAAATCCTTTATTTTTCCTTTTCCAACATGTTTTCTGCAAGATGTTATTAGGAAGATCAAGCCATACTCTGTATTCACTGTAATGCCCTTTTTCAGAATCGTGGCATACACAAACCATACTGTTCTGCCTGAGGCTTTGGA